CTCATGTCCCCCACACCACTCCCCTCCAGCAGAAAAAGGAGCAAAACCACCTGCCACAGGCAAGAGTGGGACTTCCTTAAGCAGTGGCACATATACAGCTTCTTCAGCTCAGCTTTGTTAGGGTGTTTTGTGCTTGTTTGAGCCTGCTGGGCTCTCCCCTGGATTGAGCCCTCTCCAGCTGCTTGCCTGTGCAGCACAGCACCCTGCTCCCACTGCTCCTTCCTGGAAAGCACCTCCATCCACCAGCCTGGTCATGGCATCCTGAGAGAGATGGTAAGGAGCATCCTCCTCCAGCCTGGAGCCTCTCTGCCAGACGCACTGGACACAGCCTGTGACACCAGAGTTCCCCAGCCCCCAGAGTTGGAGGAGGGGGGAGCTCCCACGAGCAGGGAATATCCCACTGCGGGTGACCAGCTCCCTGGGGTGACAACACTGTCAGAGCTGCTGTGCTCACCCAGCTGTCCCCGTGGCCAGCCATGTAGAGAAGGCTGTTGGCAGCTAGCACCCAGGTAGCTGCGATGCCTTTGTCAGTGCCGGCTTCTCAAGAGCAGCAAACCCCAGGCTGCTAAAGGAAAAACATTTTTTTAAGTTCAGTGCCTCTGAAGACACTCCCCAACACCGAGCAGCTGGAGCAGAGGGCCAGCCTCCGTTACATCCCCTCCCTGTTCACTGTCAGTCTGCAAGTCATCTTGGTCACCTGCCAGTGCCATGGGGGATCCACAGGTGCACCGGAGACTGTAGCATGTGTCTCATGGAGATGCCTCTTCCTGCTTACAGCCCTGGGGCCTGTGGCGATGCCCCAGCAGCTGGTGGCACTGGGGTGACCTCTCAGCAAACGCCCACCATGGCACCATGCCACCCGCCCAAACTGGTCCAACAGAAACCACAGGGACCGCTGCTGTCCTGGGGCAGCACAGGGGAAAACATGGGCCTTCTCTCTCATGGTGAAGGTTGAGAAAAGTGGCTGGGCTCAATGGCTCAGCTACAGGCTGGTCTGTGCCCGTGCTCATCCTGCTATGGCCCCTCGCTCTCCTCAGGTTACGCCTTCGGGACAGAGTGCCTGCAACCATCAGGGCCACATTGGTCACATGGTAGTGGTCTGACAGAGCTCATCCCTACTCCATGGAGTAACATCCTTTCATTGACCTGTATACAAGTATTTGAGTCAGGCCTTCCAAAACCAGGCAGCTTTGGCTGAGAGGTTCAGACCAGGATGGATTTCAGCAGGCATTTTACAGCCTCCCTCCTCCCTGACTTGCTCCCTAGAAAATGCGCGGCCATCCGAATCTCCTGATGGGTGCTCGCTCCTCTTCACATCCCTCTAGCACTCCAGGAGTTGAAAGCAGATTTGCGTATCTCCTCTAGCCTCTTCCCTGCCTCTCAGCAGTGCCGGAGCCCATGTTTTCCTGAGCTCACACAAGTGATGCCCTGCCGGCTCTCTCTGCGTGCTAGGGCACGCTCTGCCTACAAGCAATGGCAGCACTGCTTGAAAAGCCTCCTGGCAAGGAACTGCGTGTATTAGTGCCTGGTTTAGTCACCTCAAAACAATCTGGTTAGTAAGAGGGAGAGGAGGGAGGAAGACTGTACCCCAGGCAGAGATTGCGCATGGAAATACCAATGAGGTGACACTGTTCTCTGAGAAGTATTGGAACAACAGGAGGAGCAATAAAACACCACAGTTTCCATCCACACGGCTGTATCCCATGGATAAAGAAAAGGCAGGGATCTTATTGGAAGTCACATCTGATTTGTATCTGTCTGGCCTGAATCAGTCCTGATGCTGAGGAGAGACAGGCTGAGCCCTGCCCACTAAAACAAAAGGAAAATGCATGACGGAGAGGGCAGCTGAGGCAGCTGCCGAGCCGGGGTGCGCAGCGGGCAGCCCTGCTCCAGCACCGAGGGCAGCAAGGAGCTGTCTGTGCCCACCTCTTCCTCTTCCCCTTCCCAGGACATGATCTGAGTGAGCGCTGTGTGCTGCTGGCTCTTGGGCTGCAGCTAGCGTTGCTGCTCTCCCAGGGAAAAACTGATAAAAAGATCAATGATTCGGTCAGGTTCCTGTGTTTTGGGGTGTCTGACAAAGGCAACTGTTAACTGCACCCTGCAGAGCAACCCATCTCTTATGTTATTCTGGGGCAAGTGGGTTTTGCAGGTAGAAATCTCATCTGATTAGCTGCAAGTTATCCTGTGAGTCAGTACTGGCTGGTTAGGAAACTCTTCTCTAACTGAATGGAAGCCAAAAAATTCTGTAAAGCCTTGTTTCCAGACACATTTTTTGGGTTAGTAGCCAGAAAACCCCAGCACATCAGGAAAAAAAACGACTGGAAAACAAAACAGAAGATGGCTTTTGTGGTTTTCCTTTGCATTGGTGTGTTCAGGGGGAGAAGGGAAGGTTTTGCTCGCTCTCTCTCTGACAATTGTGTTGGGGGGTAGTCTCTGGAAATCACACACTTTTTAACTGATATACTTAGAAAGAGTAAAATATCTCTGCTTAATACCCAGGGAAGAGGTGCTGGTACTAAGCCTCATTTTCCAGAAGGAAAACATGGCAAAATTCAGGAGAGACACATACATGCAAAGGAGGCAGTATGAACGAGTCAGAAAAGCTGAATTATATCCTCTTCTCTCCTGATGGCTTGACAAGTTGCTTCCCCCCTATTGTCTTCATCTTATCCTTTCTCCACGCAGAGGGACAACATTTGGGCCAGGATGGCCATGAGCTATGTGTCCAATGCCCCCACAACATGTTGCCATAGCGCAAGCACTGGATAATATTCAAGCCTCTGTAAGAGGGGTCCAGAGGAGTGGGATGCTGAACACAGGCTGCAGCTGCCAACTCCTCGCTGCAATGCCACAGTATCATGCCAAATTGTCAAATGCACATCACAACAGCTGTATTTCTTCCCCCATAGGGAGGAAGACTCTGTGATGCGCCTGGATGCAGCCTGCACTTTGTTTCTGTTTAATCTAACTCTCCAGACAAAGGGATGTCCTCTGGGGGCAGGATCTCCTCGTACCAGGTGAGGCATAAACTCCAGAAGTATTCTGACCCTCTCCCAGGAAGACAAATGGGGCTGAAAAGATTTCAGGATCAGAAAAGTGTTATTTGCCAGCCAGACACGGACAGATTCATGACGTGACTTTCACACTGTCACTGCAGGACTCCCAGCAGATGTGAAGCCATTTCAGTGGCATGTTTCAGCCTGAAACATGTCACTGCCAGCATTCCCAGTGCAAGTCTGGGCTGGGTTCACAGGCTAAGGGAAAAGGGTTTTTTTCCACATTAAAGACTTTCTCTCTGTTGACAGTAATAAACAAGGGAAGAGAGGAGCCGATCCTGTTCCCGCGGGCCAGGTTACTCACATTTTGCAATGATTGGGGCACCAGCATGGAAGAAAATAAAAGACAGCATACTAATAAAAGAAAGTCTTTCTGGGCCAGAATATCTTCCCATCTGTCCTGTCTCCAAGAGTGGCCAAGAGCAGGTGCCAGAGCAGAGCATAGGCATGGGGCAGGTAAGTAGCAACACCCACCAGAGCTCCCCCAAGCACGTGGCAGTACGCAATTCAGGGCCTCTGCATGGACCTCCCACGCTGGGTTCAAAATCCAACTCTGTGTCCTGCTGTGTGTCTGCTCCAGCCCCCTTGAATGGACCCTGATCCCCCCAGCCAGGGCTGCTGGAGCCATCTGACTGGACACGTTTTCCAACCTGCTTGCCTTCACCCATTGCTACCCATGCTCCTGTCGCTTAGCACCAGTGATAAACAGGACATATCCCCTTGGCCGGGTGCCTGCCCAAGGCATGCAGGATCAAGTCTTCTCCCCAAAACCTCCTCTGGCAGCCACTGAACAGCTCCACTTGATTTATCAGGCAGTGAGGCTATCCCTGTAGCAAAAGCATTCTTGCTTGATCAACATCATCCTGCTAGGAAAATTGGCACCAGTCTGCCTGCCCTTTGATGCAGATCTCTTCACAATCCCCTTGCTTTGGCCCATGTCTCTCCCCACATTACAATACCACTCGATCTTCAGGACGGTTTTGGCTTATTGCTAAACACATGGCAGGTTTCTTGCCTGGGTTTGTCCAGCCACTTCCCCCCAGGGGCAGGGCTCCCTGCCCCTGGCTCCAGCTAGCTCCACAGCTTTTTGTATCCAGTGCCAGTTTTCCCTTTGCTCTGGCAGATCAGCCATTGCAACCCATACTCAGTTTCTCATGAGTCCTTTCTCCAGCCCCTCTGACTTTCCAGCATCCCCTTCCAGCTGTCTGTGAGCTGAGAGAAAATCAGCTCCTCCCCACTGCATCCCGCCCCGCAAGATGCCTCTTTTGAAGCTGCTGTCCGATGCTTCCAGCCCACCCCACTGGGGACTGCAGGCTCCCAGGCACTTTAATCGAGGCGAGTACAGGTCTTTGGCAGAAGAGGATGCTCTGCCCTCCTCCCCATCCCTAGCCAGGCTGCTGCCCTGTGCCTCTGAGGGCACTTGGGATGCAGCAGCAGGTCAGATCCAAGTCCCAGTCCTGCCCCTATACCCAGCCTGGCGGGATCACGGGGCTGGCTAAAGCATCAGCAGAGTCAGGAACCTTAAATCTGGACAAATCATTTGCAGGGGACTAAAGTGAGATGAGAAGCCAGCCCCACACAGCAGCAGCCACCGCCGCACTTCATCAGCAAAACCAGGAACGGGGCTGCCCACAGCAGGGAAGCTGGTCGCAGCCTGGCCAAGGGGGCAGTGGTGGGTCCCCCAGGACCCCCAAATGGGCAGGCAGGCTCAGCAGGAGTGCAGATGAAGGGCTGAGCACGGTTTCTGCTGCACACTGCCTTCACCCTTCCTGCACCCCTGCAGGAAACAGCACCAGCGGCCCTCGCCCGGGGCCACCACTAGCCCAGAGTGTGGTGGGACAAGCCCTGACGGCTCCCTGTGCCACCCGTCCAGAGAGCCCCGCAGCGTGTACATCCATGCGTTGAGCCCTGCCAAGGAGAGTGGATGGCAAACCTGAATTACCAGCCCAGAGAGTGGCTGGGGATCCCGGGAGCTCCTGTGATTTGCGGCAGGTTTTTCAGGTCCCCGCCTGTCACACACACACGCAGATACTTAAGCAGTCACCCAAGGACCTGCGGGGTTCTTGTTTTACACACTTCTGGTCCCTGCCAGCTCCAGGTAAGTGCAGGCTTTGAGCTGGGGGTGCTGGGGTGGATTTGAAGTTGGGGATGGGGGGGGTGGGGGGGTGGATTGAGGAGGTGACCTGCGCCTACTGATGCTGGGGAGGTTGGAGCAGTGCCCAGCAGGGCTGTGGTGGGAAAGCTTCATGCCTGGGGCAGGGAGAGGGGCACAGAGGCAGGCAGAGACCCCAGGGTGGGGTACCACCGGGGCCTGCCTCTGCTTCAGCTTCTGCTGTGCTCTTGTTTGCTTTGTTCCCATCCGATGTTATCTTCTAAAAGGCTGAACAGGTAATTCACAGGATGCATGACAGGTGGTTTTTCCTTATTTATGACAGGGTCCGGTTTATTTTTAAAGCCTTCGTCCCACCTTATCCTGTGCGCCATGCCGGCTGATGTTATCCACAGCCACCCCACAGCAGGAGGTCGAGCAAAGCTAGGGACAGAACGGGGCTCTGCAGCAGATCAAGGCAGGGCAGGAGGGCTCGTTTGCATAGAGAACTGCTATTTTGATCCCTGCAGTGGCAGGAAATAGCTGCAAGCTAAAACCAGATGCAGATGCCTCTAGTCGCATCCCAGCTGTGGCAGTGGGGAGAGCACTGGGGAAGGGGTCAAGAAGCCCAGCAGGGGCTACGGGGCCCCATCAGCTGGGCAAGAGCTACTGCTCAGAGTTTTCCACAGGCTTCGGGTGCAGTAAATCCTTAGAAAGGTGCACAGCCAGCCAGCTATTGTGTCTGCCATTCAAAAAAGCAAAGCTGAGCAAACAGAGATCATGTCTTTTCTGGAAAAGTGTCTGCTTTCTGCCAGGATAGTAAATGCTGACTGCACTAGCAGTGCTGTGCAAGCATGCTGGGAGGCAGAGGGTTGTCCTCTCCCACCTCAGGCCAGAGCTGGGAGCTCTGCTAGTAACCCCAGGGTGTCTCTGGGGAGCTGGATGCAACCACAGGACACGGGCAGTATAATTGCGGAGGGAGGTCTCTCTCCACCACACTGCTCCTACCTCACATCTAGGTCAGGTCACTCAGAGCCTTGTCCAGCTGATTTTTAGAGATCACCAAGGATGGAGGTGCCCGCAAATGTCTGGTCCTTGTCCCCATGTTGGACCCACACACACTATGAGGATTTTTTTCCCAATATCTAATAAGACTTTCTCTTGCTGCAACTTGTGTCCATCAGCCATTGCCTTTTGTCTGCTCACTCCAAAATAGCCCTGGAGGTGCATTCAAATGCCCCATCAGCCACAGTCAGAGCACCAGATGCTGCCTGCACAGCCTCCATGTACACAGTAATGCTGGCAGGAGCCGCCCGCAGCCCAGACAACCGATGAAGCCCTTGCAAGCTTCAGCTGGTGGCTGCTCTCACATTGCTCCACCTAAAACCACGACAGTTAGTCAGAGCCAAGTGTGAATTAGCCAGGGCCCTTTAGCTTGACATGTAGGACAAGAGCAGGTGTCACCAGTGCTGTGGTTTCACTATGACAGTGCATCTGGCATTGTCATTTCTGCATGGGTGAGCAACACACACCTCCCGCCACCAAACTGTCATCCCTGTACTGCCCAGGAGAGACAGCAGTGGGCATGGGACTGCTCACAGAGCTGAATGAGGACCACAGCCCCCCAGCCTTTCTGAAAGCCTAATAGATGGTTTACATCCTTTGCACTGAAAAAGCCTTTTTTTTTCTCCGATGCCTGCAAAAATTTAGGCAGAAAAAAGCAGTGAGCAGTGGTGCTTTTCAGCAGCTGAGCAAAACAGTTGTGATTCTCCATATCTCTGCCAGGTTTAAAGAAATGTAAGCAAGAAAACCACCTCTCCTGTACAGGGGAGAGGTCCTGTGCAGCCCGAAGGCCAGGATCCAGGCCTGGACTTCAACAGGGCTCCATTTAAATGGCACATGGGTGAGTAGTGGTCCAGATATGGCCAATCAGGACGTTTAGGGACTCCTCGTGCCCTCCAATCCTGTCATATACCCCCAATTTTTAGCACCCAAGAGGTGCCAAGTGCTGGGTCCAACACACTGCACAGGGCCACGTTGGTCCTGAAAACCTCCAGGAGACAGTGAAGCAATGTGGGGAGACCTGCAGAGCTCTCCAGGATTCCCAGGGTTTTGACCTTTTCCTGAACAACAAATCACAGCCTTGAGAGGTAGGAACTGTTCTACATCCACAGGTAGAGGGTAGACAAAGAAAAACCATCAGGCATCAAATCCTGAGTGCTGTGACACCCTGAGCTGCCAGGTAGAAGATACTGTGTCCTACGGGGAAACGCCTCAGGAACCTGGAGATTATCAGAAATAGAAACAGCTGTGAAGATGAAACATAAAATTTGAAGCATGTGTTCCCTATGCAAATCGATGCACACACATCAATGTACATTAATGCAGCAGGCTGCAAATGATGACTTATAAACCACTAGGACCTGTTGCTGCTGGTGGCCCAGGCTAGATGCATGATCCAGAGGTGATGAGGAGCCCTGTGGTGACTGGGCTTTCTAGGAGAAGGGCGGGTGGCTTGGAGTTGACGTGGGGTGCTGATCAAGGAGCGGAGGAAGGACTTGTGGCCTCATATGCACTTTGACTTCATGGAGAGCCCAGCAGCCACAGTGCTAGAGAGCAGCACCTCAAGTTCAGGGGATCTCCTTCTCCCTCTGCATCATTTCCAGGAGTCTCCAAATGCCCAAGGTAGGTAAGCAGCATTCACCTGGCCCCCACCTACTCAAACGCATGAGGAACTGAACTTTGTTTGTCCCCTTCCTATATGGACACCTCTGAATTGAGCTTATGCCAGGAAAGCCCGGGCAGCTGCTGCCACACGCCTGAGGCCACAATACGCTGCAGACAAGGCCAGCTCAGCTTGCAGCACATGGGGTTAAAGATGGTCTTTCCCCAGTCCACCCAGGATGGTGGATGATGCCACCTACCAGCACACTCCATCAAACTCAGAGGTCCTCCTGCCTTACACAACCACTGTGTTACAATCAGTATTTACCAATGACTCAAGCAGAGTGGGCTGTTTCACAACCAGCCCTGGTCTATTTATAAGCCCCTACTCAAATACCAAAGGATCCTTTTATTAGTCAAAGCAAACTCTAGCAGACAAGGCTCAGTGGAGCCTTTGCTTTTTGAAGTAAAGCTCAAAGAAGAGGATCTCTCCAGCCTCTGAGAATAGAACAGCTGGTTCTTTGCAAGATGCAAGGCAGTTTTGGAGCTGAGCCCCATCCCAGCAGTGCCATCAGCCAGTGAGAGCCCTGGGGTATTCAGTACACCCCAGGGTACCAAGTGGGTTAAGAAGGGTTATCCATCAATCAGGAACGCATTTGAGTTTAAAGCTACGCAGTAGGGGTGCAGCATGATGGAGGTGCCTGGGTTACATCCCAGAGCCAAAGAGAAGGAGAAGCTGGACGGCAAGGTGGAGGCAGGGCAGGTCTGCACCAGACAGCCCAGAGGAGTCCCAAGGTGGGCCAGGGCTCCTGGCAGTATTGGAGAGCCAGCAACACCAACCAGCCTGCCTGACAGAGACGGGCCAGGCAACTCGGACAGCAGGAGAGCAGATCAAGAAAGGCCACATTTTTGCATCCAGCTCCTCCCCCGCCAACACCCCACAGCTTGGTTTCGGAAACACCGAAATGATTCAGCGTCAAGGGACTTCTGCATGCTTTGTGGGGGCAACGCCTCATGTTTCAGTTGACCGAATTGGCAGGCTCGACCCTCTGCCATGCGGGAACAAACTTGGAGCCCCACAGAAGAGAGGTGGGGGACTTACTCAAGACTTGTTTTGCTTGTGCTTTTGTGCCAAGTCTGCCAGAGATTCGTGCAAAGCACAAGTGGGACAAACGTTACTCTGGAGGAGAATGTGCGCTCCTTGCTTCTGCCATTCCAGGAGCACCTAGCAATGATCACAGCCAACGGCAGTGAGTGCTTGGGCAATGGACATACACGGGGTACAGTCCTCCTCCGAGGACTGACCCTTCACTTCTGCATCAAAAAACAAGCACATGGTTCAGCAATGCTTAGGAACAACAAAACTAACTGTTTATGCCCATGCTGGATAACATTAAATATTAGTAAAAACAAAGCAGCTCACCTGCTCATCGCCAGCTTTGGGTAATGTCTGGCCACACTGCTAGGAGGAGGACCATGACACTGATCAGGAGAGAAAAATGGGGTGATTGCTGGCTCCAAGCCCACGCTCCCCAAAGATCCTGCATCCTCTGGTTTGTGATTCCCCTGCACAAACTTGCCTGGTCCCTGGGGAGAAGTTAAAAAAAAAAAAAAGAAAAAACCACTAGGCTGGGTGCCAGATACTGTCCCCTTACCCAGAGGATAAATAATGTTTTTTAATTAATGTCTTTAAATTAACCCCCTCAATATGTCCGTTGCTGTGACATCACTCCCAAGTGACGCCCAGGCCTAAATGTGGTTGTAAACAGGAATCGTCCCCATGGGAGTCACACTGGCTATAAATACAGCAGCAGGGGAGCGCTGAGCAGAGGACAGGCTGCAGTTTCCTGCCAGCTGAGGATGGTGAGACAGCTCAGCTGGGAGCTATTGGTGTGCGGTTGCCGCAGTGGGGAAACCAAGGCAGGAGTTGCTGGGGGGCTGGGGCTCCCGGCTGAGCTCCCCAGGATGTCTTTGGCAAGGGAGATGTGCCCTGCTGCAGCCAGAGGCCACTGGGGAGCGGGGGGAGCTGGTGGGGTCATGGATGGCAAACCTGGAGCTCAGCAAGTGGGCCCCACTGGCCACCCCCAACTTGGGCAATGACACTGGCCCCTCTCCACAGCGCCTGGCTCCATAGCCCTTCCCCAGGAGAAGATGGCCACGGAGAAACCAGTGACTCCCACTGAGGAGCAGCTGGAGATCCTGGAGTACAACTTCTGCAAGGTGAACAAGCATCCTGATCCCACAACGCTGTGCCTCATTGCGGCCGAGACCGGGCTCTCCGAGGAGCAGACCCTGGTGAGTGTGCGCCCCTTACCCCAACCTTGGCACCAGCCCTGCTCCCCCTGCATGCCTCTGTGCCCCAAACACTCCCCCCACATCTCCTGCCTGTCCTGTCCCTGGCTCTCTCATACCTCCTGCACCCTTCCGTCCCCCCACATGCTTCCTACTGCACCCCCTACACCCCTTTGTGCCCCATACGCTCCCTACTTACACTCTCTGCACCCCACACTGCACCCACAAGTCTCCTCTGCATTTCTGCAACCCCCAGTGCACTCGCAACCCCACATTGTACCCACAGAGCTCTACTGCAACTCCCTGTACCCCTCATGTTCCTGCCCCCACATCCCCAAAGCCCCTTCCCCTGTAATCACAGCCCCTTCATCCCACAGCTGTGGCCTCCCGCACAGCAGCCCTGTGCCCCACTGGGATCCCTGCACCCTCCCTGCCCAGCAGCCCCATCCCCAGCCTAGGCTTTGAGACCTGGCTAGTGCTTCCTGCAGCCAGAACAAGGGCACCCGCATAGGCTGGCTGTGGAGCCCTGAATATACAACCCAGGCATGCTGTCCTTTCCTTCCAACACATTTTCGATAGCCTCAGGTGCCCAAACCACTCCTGGCTTTATGGTCTGAAGAAACTACAGTCATTTTAAAACAGATAAAGGGTAGATGCAACTCCTGCAGATGTGCAGACATGCTCAAGCTGTGCACACTACCCCTCACTGCACTTAGCTACCTCAGCATCCCTAAGTCCAGATGTCAGGCAAGTCTGTCAGCCTCTCCAGGAGACGTAGAGGCCTCCAAATGTCCCTCCACAGGGACAGACTGCCACTGTCTGGGACTTCCACCGAGCCCTGTGCTCCATCTGGCTGCCTGCAAACTACCCTGGGCTTTAGAAGCAAACGGCTCCTTCCCAAATCCTTCAGGTTGCGGTGCAGCCATTTTTGATGCAGATGTTTTATAAGCTACTAGACACATAGCAGCATTGATGGGGATAGAAAAGAAATCCAACACACTGAAAAGTTAGCAGCATTTTGCAGAGAGCTGCCAAGCCTGGCTCTCCCCGGGCAAAACCAAAGGGATGTGAGAGCCAAGCAGGCGATGCCAGCATTTAGCCTGTCCCAGGGAAGGATGCCGGTCTAACATCCATTGCACTGATAGTCCTTCGCTGGAGTGGAAAAGGAGACCCCTCTTCTACTGTGCTTTGGTGACAGGCGGGTACCACATTGCACTTCTTGTTTGTGGCAGGAAGGAGGCAGTACCCCTGAAATACTTTTTCCTCCTTAGAAATAGCACTGCTCCATTTTTTTTTTTTTCCTAAAGCCAGTTGTAAACACAGACATATATGCCCAGGACAATTCTGGAGATGTCTTAAAATTTTCCCTGTTAGCCATCTTCTTCCATGAATCCAGGGGCTCCTAGAGATCTGGAGAAGAAGGTCATGTTAGGGACAGGATAGAGACTGGGATGGTGAGCTGCAAAGTGCCTGCATTGCGTATGACACACAGAATCATTGCTTCTGACATCTGGAGTGCTTTATCTGCTAGATATAGCAACCACTTTAATAAAAAATTTAGTAAAAATGAGATGCAAAGAGGTACTGAGTCAACAGGAGATGATGGTTTAGGATAGGAAGTGAAATTTTTGGGAGAAGGCTAGGCAAGCAATCATCTGACTGGATGTGGTCCAAGGCAGTGCTAGTGTGAGAGCCACTTGTAGAGAGCACTGTGGTTGTATCATTACGGACCACAATAGCTTCAAAAATAGCCATGAACAAATATAGCAACAAAATGAGCATCAACAAAGCAAATCACAGGCACTTTCCTAAACAAAAGGCTGAGCTGTGCTTCCGGCACACAAGTTATATCTCTCTTCTTGTGGAGGTAGTGTGGCTTTATTCAGCTGCGTTTTATCTAAGATTTTAAATTGCCACTGTGTTTAAGTGGTATCAGCAGCTCTAGGAGTTGGCTTAGGGATGCTGAGTTACTACAGTATAATGTAGCCATGCATATTGCTTGAAGACTAAGACCATATTTAACCCATTTTTAAGATCTATTTGTCAAATCTGCCGAGAGCCACTGTGTTGTCCCTCTCATCCTTTCTGAAGCAGGTCAACTTCTGGTTCCTGTATTTTTTGGACCCACAGTGATTGTTTCGCTGCTCCAGCCATTTAAACAGATACCATGCAGCAGCTCCTTAGCCAATCTCTTACTCTGTTTGCAAGAACTCACAGCAATAAACCAATGACCCACCCATGCTATCAAGGTCTGAAGCAAGCAAGAGACATGAGTTTGAAAGAGGTGCCCACATAGGTAATGAGACCATTTGGTCAGGAGCGGCTGTCCTGCTGTCTGTGTTGCCTGAGAACAATGCAGCGCCATGAGGTTCCTTCGCCTAGTCCCACATGCTGACCACATCTGCACCTTTAGCAAAGGGTTCGCTCAACCCAGTGCACTCCATATCTCTTTTTTTTTTTTTTTTTTTTTCCCCCTCCAGAAATGGTTCAAGCAGCGCCTGGCAGAGTGGAGGAAGTCAGAAGGGCTGCCCTCAGAAAGCGGGTCTGTCAGGGACTAGAGGATGCTGCTCCAATCCCCATACCTGGCTGTAAATGATAGTGAAGCTCTTCAGAGTGGGTTTCCTTGGGGTTCTTCTGCTGCAATAGGTTTTGAGATACAAAGTAATACCCTGCTATTTAACATGTCTTATTTAAAGTGTACATAACCAGGAAAAGCATATTTTATGTGTGTGTATATATATGTCTATACAGCTTCTGATGGCTGCGTAACCTGTCTAGTGACTCCCATCCATTAACAGCAGCTGCACAGGGCAAGGCAATCTCATGCCCTTGTCCCAGGCTTGCAGAAAAGCTGCCATGAAAGGTTCAAACATAGAAGGCGGGAAAAAAGATTTCTTCTCCTTATGATCCCCAGAGGCAAAGTATGTGTGCTAGCTTTAATATACAGACCATCCAGAGAGGGGGGCACCTGGAAAACCAGATGTGTTGTTCAGGTGATTTTGGTTAGCTCAAGATGCCTGAGTCAGCTCTGGATATTGGCAAACCGAATGCCTACACCATAATCAGACCAAGCCAAGCCCCCCTTGAATGCATTTCTCACATTTCTATTAAAAGTCACCAAGGGAAAAAAAAAATGGTCTTTTTTGTTTTTCCAATGTGTTAATAAAAAACCAATGTTTTTTTGATGAGAGGAGCTGTGTTATGTCCCTGCTTGTGGTCCCTGCCCCAGTGGCAGGAGGCAACTTTCTCTGGGAGGGCAACACGTCTCCAAGGCAGCCTCAGTGGGCACCGCGGGTTTTCCCTCTTGCCACAGGGATAGCCCACAGATGTGGGCAACCTCCTCTTCTATGGCACCCATGGGCGCATCCCTGGCAGCCCACACAGCTCCAGGCACAGCCCAAGCCCCAAGGAGGCAGAGGCTGGTGGTGCTGGGGTTGCCCTATGGCAGGGGGGTGGGGGACAGACCCCAGCCTCCTCCTGGCCATTCTCAAGCCTGAGAGATGCGGCTGCACTGGGGCTCTTGCACAAAGCCCAAACTATCATCCACCCTGGTACAGGACAACGCATGGGCTAAAAAATATCCAGCACCATGACCCAGTGACCTTATCTTGTCCAAAAAGTCCAAAAATCCTCTGCTTAGTGGATTATTGAATCAATTGGTGGATCCTTTGATTAATCCTCTTCTGGTTTGTGGTCACCTGCCTCCACTCCTTTGGAAGGAGAATCAGCTTAACACAGGGAAGATTAAGATACACTGGCACTGAAACTGCCACATGCTTGAAAGAATCTTTATTTTTGGTTGTTCTTCTCCTTTAATGGCACTTTCATCTATGGCTTTTTGTCCTCTTGCCTCAGTATCTCCACCCCATCGCCAGTGGTTAGGTTGCCAGTGCAAAGCACACCAGACTCACAGGAAACAGATTAAAGCAATTTCCCTTTGCCATGTCCCACACAGGCTGTGTCGTTCCCCTGCAATCCAGCTGTCAAACTGGTCTCAATCTCAGACCCGACTGGAGCTCAGGTTTTGTTCTGCAGGGTCTGGCACCAATATCTGTTTCGTTCTTAGTCTTTGCAATGTGCCTTCTCCCTTACACTGAGGAGAACTCTGCTTTTTTTCAGTTAGGCTCCAAAAATCCCAGTGCAGAGTTCCATTATTCTGTCCAGGGTCACAGAACTGAATATCTGAACCCCACAGATTTAACCCACCTGTGTAACTTGTATTAAAGATGCATGTAAGTAGAAGGCTGTATCTGCCCATTCTCCAGGCATTTGAGAAAACAGGCCCCAAATCCAAGCCAACTCAACACACATGCCACCCCAGCATTTCCAAAGTCTGTACTAAAGTTTTTCTCGTTATCAAATCCAGCCCGAGATCTGGAATTTTGCAGCCTTTTGTGTTTCTACTTCTGTCACAAACACAAAACTTTAGGCATCACTAAGAAGATCTCTGAACTTTAGCAAAAATTTTGAAACCCAAGGTCAGGAGTTGTGTTGCATCAACCTACTGTGTGCTGTTGGCTTTGGTTTGCCACACTTCTTTATGTGAAAGAACGGTTCCTGTGCTGGCTTCCCCTGGCAGTTGTTTCATTACTTTTTTAACTGTTACAGCAGAAAAATAAGACGAGCGATAAACTCCAGACATAACCCATTCTAGGGAGAGTGGCTTCCACATTAAGTCAAATTCTGCTCTTTTCCCCTGATGACTCTTTTGTTCTGAAGCAATGACCATTTTATTTAATTCCCCAGATAAGCCCAGTAAAATTTGCTGCTCGTAAGAAAGTGTTCCTGCTGGGTGCTGCCCCTGTGCCGTGTTCAAGCAGGTTTTCCAGACACAGCAGAGCCCAAAGAAGCTGATGTTCCGAGGGGTGATCAGGGCAGCTGGCACGAGCAGTGGGCTGTGTTTCTGAGGGAGCTCAGCGCTTAATCGGACGGGCCAGTTCTTGGATCCGAGCAGAACAAATTGCCTTCTTAGCAGTCTCCTTCACTGTGAAAGCATCTGGGTTGAATTGAACCGAGCCCATAGAAGGCCTGGGGGAGCGAGGACAGAGCTGGTCAATTCCGACTGGAGCAGGGCCAGCTCTCAAAGCTTCCTGCCAGCTGACACACCTCCACTGGAGACCTGCCCTTCCCTGTCAAGGGAGGACAAAAGCAGTCATGCCTCCACTCCTGTCAGCAGGATAATAGTGAGAGAGGGTGCCCTGTTTCTCACTGAAGCTGTCACAGCCACTACCCTCCCCCTCTGTGAAACATCCTACCCACCAGTTCCTGCGGCCCGGGCTGAGGCCAGCTGCATCACGCTGAGCAATATGAATGTGCTACACTGTGCCACATGTCAGCTGGTTGCCTTTTAAAATTACAATTAATAATTAAGAAATCCCAAACAGTAATTCCTACTGGAACTAGAAAGTTCCTATTTCTTCTCTTTTAATTCTCCTTCCACCTCAAAAATGCTTTTTAAACCACAGTCTTTGTAGCATTAGCACGTTCTTCCATATAAAATCCATGCATTTGGGAAGTGGAAGAGCAGTGGCTTAATCACTCTGGCCAAACCCAAATCAGCAAGGTGCCACAGCCTGTACGAAATGGGCTGACAGCTGATCATTTCCCCATGGCAGGGAAGCAGCACCTACCTTTTGCAAGGCTGGGCCAGTTCCACAAGCCTTGGTGTGGCCACTGCGTGCTTTGCAGCCTTTGTCACTGGCCACTCAGCATCCCGTGAGGGCACATAGTCAGGATGCAATCTTTTTACCCTAGCCAGCTCCAGGGTCCGAGGGCTTGCAATTGCCTCTTGAGCAAACTTGGAAACCTGTGGAAGAATGGGGAGGAAGGCCCTTACAGGTGCTCCTGGCATTAAAGAGTGACTAGCCTGAAACTCACTGTACCCAGGTTCACAGATGGTACACGGTCCTGTCCATAGCTGTGCCTGGCACCAGACAAGCTGTGGAAGGAGAAATCACTGCCTGGCCAGTCCCACAACCTGCCCTCCAGCCTCCTCATACTCATAGCCAATTGTCCAACCCATCCCCCAGCACTGGAGATCCCAATTAGAAACTCATCCATCTGTCCCCATCCCCACAACTGCAGGCTGGGCACAGGCCTCCCCTTCTCTGGTGATGTCTGCTGGGAGCCAGTTCATGCTCTGGATGGAGGACGAGTCCTGATCTCCAGCCCAGGCAGCAGCTACATCAATCTCACAGACAGTAGCCCATCCAGGGCTGCCATGAAGAGAGCCACCAGCAACTGGGCACCCAGGTCCCTCCCCTCTGCCCAGCACCCCTGCCATGCATGGTCCCGGGTGACACTGCCTTACCGGACGGATGACGGATTCCAGAAAGCTGTGCTCATAGCAGCAGGTCACCTTCCTGACGCGGGGCTCTGCGAGACACTGCAACCGCGAGGATGCTCTGGCCAAGGCTGCAACATTTGTAACCTGTGTTGGCACCTACATGGGTTCAGAATAGAGGAGGGATGTGCTGACACAGAGCTCGTCCACCGCAGCCCCCAGGGACATACTACCTCTCCAAATGGATGAGCACCCAGCACCCTTCCTCTGCAGACATGGTCACAAGAAGAAGCATTCTTACTTTCCCAGCACCCGTTATTTTTCTTTCAACCTAACTTCAAGGTAATTTTGGCACTATTGGGATTTGTACACCTTAGCTAATATTACTTTTTTCCCCAACTGTTGCCTACTCGTAGCCAGGAGAGGAATGCCTGTAATGGGAGCCTGTGTAACCAGGTAAAAGTTCAGAGAAATTTCTTCCAGAGTAGAAATATGGGGGGTTTTGTATTCGTCTTCCTGGCTGAATCAAATAAATTCCTTGCTAAGAAGAGACGCTCAGATTTCAGGGTAAAAGTGCTGGTGCAGTTAACTGCATTCCTACAGCAAAAGTGATTTCTGCTCCAGCATGGGACTTGCCCTATTTTTCACAGGGTTACTGATGCCAAGGCCTGCTCCAGCACAGCCTCCCTTATTTCCCAGCCCAGAGACTGCAGCTAGAAAATTTAGCCTTTGCCACGGAAATGAGTGTAATCTGAGACTGCCCCAAGCCCTTTCACCCCTGCCAAAGGAATGACTCGCCTGAAAGGAGCAAGTTCAGAAATACATCTCTAAATTAGGCTTCTGGTAAAACGCTGTTAAAATATACATACTGTTTGCAGGCTCATCCCCCCTATATAGACAGATAGGAGCACAGCTGCCCAACTACAAACGTAACTGTGCTCCCTAGGAGCTAAACAGGCCATTCCCATCAGGGTTCTCCATGTTCCCAGGCTGGTTTATCAGTGAACGCAACCCAGATTTCTCCCTTGGCTCCCCTGCTATTCTAGGCTGCTCCAGCCTGGCTGTTTTCTGTCTCTCAGGAGGGAGATTTTCAAAGACAGCATCTCACTCCAAAAAGGCAGCTTCTCTCAGTATCACAGATTCCACCAGAACCAGACAGCTTCTTGCCTCCATAGCACACACTGGGCACATCCAGGGACAGGGTACAGTGTGTAAAAACTCAGGACAGTTTGCTGCATTGCTGTCACCTCCAAACCTCACTCAACCACCTGCTCACCTCTCTGGCCATCAGGAACTCTGCGTGCAGCACCTTTGGCCGGGCAAGCTCCAGGATCCGCGGGGAGGCCTTATAGCTCAGTGCAGCTGGCGACACAGGCCACTCAGGGGACTGGCGAGGTCTGGAAGCAGAGAGTCACGGCACTGCCATCCACAGGTATTCCCCCACAATGGCTAAACCAGGCTGCTGCTGGGATGTTTAAGCCTCATGTTTGCTGCAATAGAAGGCAGCTTTGTCTTGTGGCCATTTCCAGCGTAGAACCCACTTATCCCATGAGAGATTCCAGAGGTCCTAATCCCAGCATAGTTCCTGCTCTGCATTTTGCCCTCTGTTGTACCCACCCACTGTTCCTGTGTTTGTTACTTTGAAGCTGCATTGATGGTACAAGGCCCAAGGGCCTACCTATAGCATTCTATAGGCTTTCTGACCTCTCACCTTTGCTGCAGGTAAGCAGCCTGTAATTTTTTAGGTTCAGACAACTTCAGCAGCCGATCAGAAGGGAAGCCAAAATCCACTAGCGGGGGACGGTCCCAGGTCACTGATTCCCATCCAGAGCTGTACAAAAAGAGAGATGATGAGGAAAAGCACAGAAGAGTTAGTAAAAGACAACTGACAGAGAATGAGATTCTGACAGATGATATCCTAAGTCTGGTTAAACATCCATGCCTGCTGCATGTACAAAAGTTGTCACCAGTGCACATGGAAGAGCCACGAACAAATGGGCATTTACACTTGAGATTTCCTGACTTTAGAGGTAAATGCTGTTTGCATATGAAGAGTCTTCTTTCAAGCGCCCTCAGTGCATTGCTTTGAAAGTCTAGGCCTTTCCCTGGACCATTTCAAGAAGCTGCTCTACAACACAAACCTGGCAGCACCTCTGTTTTTCAGCTCTGCAAGGTGCCAATTTAGAAACCTCTTTGTTGCAACGGCTTGTGCTCTTGCAGCTCCTTTCATTTTGGGATCTCCCCAGGCTCCCCTAGTCCATGCTCATCCAGCTTTCCATCAGCCACAACTGTTGGCATATGCCTGTCAGCACCAGGGAAGAGGTGAGCAGAGGTGAGCAGAAAGGCAGGAAGGGCTGCTAGAGGGACACCGTTAGTCAGTGGTAGAAACTCTCAGGAGGATGAGAACCCCTGAACTGATTACAGTGGCAGAGGAGAAGAAACCATAGACACACATGTCTCGACATCCCTCCAGGTACAGGAAAGCCAGGAGTGCAACATGGTTTCATCTCCATTCTCATTGCTAGGACTTCTTATAGACTAGCAACCACCATCCTGTCTCCAAAAAAGCTTCTTCCCCTCCAACAGAGCTACAGATTAGTTGCTTCAAGTAATGCAGCAGCATCCCGCCCCACTGAAGTTTACATTTTTTTACATCATTTTTCATTCCTATTCCCACACATGGACTGCTTTGACTGGTTGTTCACCATGCAGCGACAGCAAAGGTTTAACTCAAAGCAAGAGACCTGGATTACCTCCAGCCAGCAGGATGCTGCAAGATTTCTCTGTTCATAGCACTTCCTAACCTTTATCCTCAAGATTTAGACCAGGCTCAAAGAGGATGCAGGGGATGACTAATTGCGCCCAGGTTCCTAGCTAGGCCCCAATACAGACAGCGAACACTCTAGGGACAGACAGTCCCTCTGTACGCACAGGTATGACACATACATGTTTCCATCAAGGCACACATGCATGAACACAATTGTCTCTGCTTCCAAGCTGAAGCAGATCTGTTGTTTTGTTGGTTTGTTTGTGTTTGGATTTTTGGTGGGGTTTTTTTGTTACAGCAAAGGAACATGCTCTCATGTCCTTGAAGGCTGAGATCAAGGCTGGCTCCTGTGGCAGCTGATCCAAACCCAGAGCTGTAATCAGACCAGCAACCACCATGTGTTGCAGAAGCCCTTCCCACAGCCAGAAAGCAGATATGAGGAAATAAAAGGACACCAAAACTTAGCACCCACCAAGTTTCTCCTCACTTTGGCAGTCAAGCACTCAGGGTCATTATGCTCCCATAGCACTTCCTTCCCTGCTACAGATGGCCCCTGTTCCAAGCATCAGTACAGCCTGGTGGTTCTCAGTGGCATGGAGCTCCCTGTGGGGCGTCGATGGCAGGAGAGAAGATGGCATGTCCCCTTCCCCTGGGAGCCAGCACGTCCCCCTGATTAGAGAGCACCATCTGAGCTGCTTCCTTCCCCAGAATCTGCTACCACACCACTGACCTGCACTGGTGCTTGCCAAAATCTTGCTTGGGCTTGGACAGTGCCATTGTTCTTGGGGATGGTTGAGTTGTCACAGCACCCCGCGAGAGGGTCCAGATCGTCTCTTGGTTTCCCCATACAAGCCTAGCAAGAACAGCAAGGGTGTGAAATTTTAGAAACATGCACAAGTGTGAAATGTGCTTGCCGGGGCTGTCCTTCCCTGCCTAGGATGTGACGGACACACACACAGCTCCTATGGCTCCCCACAGCTGTAAAGTGCCACTGCCATCCCCCGAGCACTCAACTTCTCTGGCACTGAATTTCCTAACTCTGTCCAGGTGGTTGTTGTCAACTCAAAAAAAAGAGCCTTCAAGTGACGGGTCTGGTTTTACAGTTCCCAGTGGATGTGCAGAAAGGGTCGTTTCATTATATCTCTGAAACCCCCGGGGGAGTTTCATGATTGCATTTTTCTTGCCTCACAATTACCACCTAACTATACCACAGGTATGACAGTAAAAATAATAATAATGTTATGGTCAGGGTGTGCCATGGAAAGTGGGTGAGGTTTTGCAGCATGTTAGTGGTTACTCTCCCGTGCCCAGGGCAAATTTGGAGTTGCTCATCCCCCACTGAGAGGGAGGACACAGTGGGAGAGGGTACCAGGGCAGTCAGGACAGGGAACAGCAGGATGATGGTTTGTGGAGCCTTTTTCAAGCAGAGTGACACCCATCCAGACAGTGGAGAAGAGATGTTACCAAGAGACTGTTGCCCTGGCTTGTCAAGCCATAGACTGACCCTGTAATGTAGACAGCAACTCTGTTCCTAAAGCTTGGCTGTGTCTTCCAGGATACAGCAGTCTGCAGCTCCAACAAAGTCCGGTCCCCTTGCACCACAGCACCATCCCACCCCTCAGCATCTCAGTGGGGCCACTCAGATGGGGCCGCAAAGGCAAGACTCGGGTAAAGTTTTTGGATTGAAAATAAGAAACACCAAATTGAAGAGAGCCTCTCACACACTGAACATCTCAATCTGGCTTTTTGGAACCACTTCTGCTCTTGAGAGGAAAGCAGTAGCAAGACAAAGGCAAAGGGTCTGCACCTGCTGAGGCCCCATCAGTCCCCAGCCCTGGAGCCAGGGCTGCCTGGGCACCTCCTTACCTGGGATCGTTTGCACGAGCCGCTTTCTTGGGTTCTGCAAGTTCTTGTATCCTGTCAAAATTGCAGAAAATCACAAATGTGCCATTAAATGTACAGTTAAACCAACGAAGCCTAAAGAAGTTACTGCTGTACTCAAAGCTATAACACAGTCTTGAACCCCTATGCCTTTGTGAGGCATACCTTGCGAGAGTGCATTTAAGGGATTTCACTCTCCAAGTAATTTTCCATGCACTTAATCTGGTGAACTCACCAGCCTATGGATTTTTGTGCGATCTCCTTGGATTGCAGAGACATGAATTTGCAATTCCGCCCCCACTGCAGGGTCCCTTTAGGACATGGCAGGGAGAGGGGGAAGGTACTTTTCTGGTTAATAACATGCCATGTAACCTCAGCAGGTAGAAGATGGATTATCTCCCAGCCTACAGGAGCCCAGATGAACAGAAACACCTGTTATCAACACTCTTGTGGTTTACTAAAAGGCACCATGGAGACAGCACTGTTCCCACGTGGCTTTAGTAGCACAGGTGAAGACATTTTATTTTTATTTATCATTTTATTTCAGTCCATTTAGCACAGAGGTCTTAGAAGCTACAGAGACACAGGAATATACACAGTCTGTGCCCTAGGAGCAGCACTGAAAATGTTTTTTCTGAACATTCATCAGACCAAAACCTTTCAGGAAGGTCAGATATCACTGTCTGCTCCTGCTGCTCAGGTGTACCAGGCCCAAAACCACAGTGCCTGGGAAGCGCTTGTGCTTTGTGAGCCTCAGTACAAAGAGAAAGACAAGACAATGCCAGTGTCACAAGTGCATTGCAGAACTCCCTGGTGTCACGGACCAAGCCCATACCCACCCACTGGGGCTGCAGGTGCCTGCCCCCAGCCAGCTGGGGAACAATCACACGATGCAGGCAGCTGTGGAACTGCCCCACCATGGAAAAAGTATGGAAGGTGAAAGCCTGGGACATCGCTTCCCTGCTTAGTATCACCCTGCAATAAGGGAGCGTAGCCCTAGAGATGAGCAAGGGCAGCAATAGAGAGAGATGTTTGCTGACAGAAACCAGTCTGTGCTTGGGGGATACACCTGTGGTTTCTCTGATGGGGCCGATACCTCTAGTGAGATGCTGAGCCCCAGCAAACGCTTGCCAGAGAGCTCAGCACCACAGAGACCCTTGCAATGGTGGGCTGCTGTTAGAGCATCCTCACAGCACGCTCCCTGTGAGACACCTGCTGATTTATCTACTCGTCACACCTAACCGCTGGTCACAACACTGCAAACACGGCTCCCACTGAGATCCCACAGAGGGAACTAACTGCCTGCGGGACTTTGGCCCCCTGCCGCCAGTTCAAGACAGGACACGCTCAGGAAGGCAAACGTCACTTCAGGAGCCAAAAACCAGTTTCAGCTGTTCATTCCCAAGCAGCTCCCCAGAGGGTTTTCCTTGCAAAGGTGTAAGTGGGTGAAGGATTATGGTGCAGTGGTCCGCCCCCAGCCGAGCTGCATTGAAGTGCTGGCACCCTCTCCTTGCAGGCAGGCTCATCGCTTTATCTCCACCGCTGGCACAGATCCACCACATAGCCACAGCCAAACCTAGCACAGGGTGCACGTGGCCCTAGTGCCCCACACCGCTGGCTTGGACACTGCTGTGCAAAGCTTTCGTCATGAGCCAGCCGAGGGACAAGTCGCACATGTGTCCAAATCAGGTCGCACAACTCACCTGACAATTGTTCAGTTGGATTTTTTTTTTTCCAATTACAAAAATAGATGACTTTCTACTCTTTCATCATGGCAAAAGCTACGGCCAGACAGGCATACCCACAAAGGATGCACCTGCAGCAGCTCTGCAACTTGAAGGAGTTAAGTCACCTCACTGACAAGGGGACAGCCCTGGGGGAGCCTTTGCCCTTTGGTCCTCCTCGTCCTTCCCAGCAGACAAAGGGTTCAAGGCCTGGCTGCAGCCAGACACAGAAACACATCCCCTTCACTGCCTGAGCTCATCCAGACTCATTGCTTAAGGGGGATCAACTCCTCTGAGATCAATTCCTTGTAAAGTAAAGGGTCACAGCTTCCGTTTTGAAGGGGCAGGATGGTCAGCCGTTGTTTGTCATGAGAAGCAGCGGGAAGGGCAAAACCAGGCATCATTTCCTCTGTCTGTTTATCACAGCGTTATCCGATATACCGACTCACTGCTCAGCGTAAATGCCCGACGGAGCCCTCCCCAGGAGACGTGGGGAATGGCCCGGACCCCCAAGCCAGGAGGCCGGGGCTGGGAGGGTTTCTTACCTGCCATGTGAATGTGCAGACAAGTAACAAGAAACTGCAAAGACAAGAAGAGGGGAATTTAAAAGCTTGGTAACACCTTGCAGCCTGGGCTGCCTACAATTCGGTGTGAAATAACCACAAGGCAGATGAAGCTTGTGCGTCTCCTGAGGACGACGCAATTGCTTGGCAGCTATTTGCACCGTTTTTCCCGTGTCCCTCCCCGGTGCAGCTGCCCAGCGATGCACTGGCAGGTGAAGGGGCTGCTTCCCTCCGGGGGGGTGCCAGCAGCACCCCCACCACCACCTCCCCTCACCAGCATCCTCCTCCTCCACGGACGAGCACCAGCGGCCACTGCCGTCCCGTGGGCGCCCACCTGCCTCAGTGC